ATGCTATTGTATGTGAAGGTATGCTCAACTACTTCAAAGAAAGAGACATTATGGTATCTACTGTTAATATCAGGTTGTCTTGCGATGAAGTACTGTGTTGCTTACATTGTTCTGTCCTGATCTGCTTTTTTCTGTCCTCTTTTGTCTTAATCTCTTTTAAAAAAACATTTTTAAAAAAGTAAAAGCAATGACTGAGAGAAAAAAAAGTTTAATGGCTAAGTGCATGTTTTCTTTGGGGCAAGTCTTTCTTGCATTTCAAGATTAGAACAAACTTCTCCCACATCTTCCCCTCCAATTCTATTGGATATTTGATGAAATATAATTATGTCTAAATGGTGTGTTTCCCAGTGTTCTTCCTTGGTAACATACTTGCTGTTCTCATGGTTTGTGCCCATGGGGAAGTTTTCCAGTGATAAGAGTTGGCTTACATTCTCACATTTTCTTTTCATGGGAATTGCAACATTAACAATTAAAGTTAGTTTAAACCACAGACTATAGTATATGAAATTGGGATTTCTTACCAAAGCCTTAATGTAGTGATCAAACTTCCAAGCATTTCAACCTAAGTGTGAAATTCTCTTGAGAATCAGCCACTGCAGGTTAGACTGGGCGGGCCGAGGGTTCCTTGTCTCTCCTGGGTTCATAGAGGCTCAGCCTGGACTCTGATGGATCATTCATTCCAAGGCTGCTGAATTAGTCTCTACAGTGAGTCAGACTGAAATACTGCAGGTGTCATTAGTCCACAGGCTGAGGAAAGGAAGTCCCTGAGGGCCTTTCCTAGGCTGTTCCTTACAATGTCTAGAATGTTTTTCCTGCTGTCCCTGTACCATCCTTTGTCATTCAGAAAACTGAATCCCGGCTGCCTCTTGTGGAACACTGGTTTCTCAACCTCAGCACTACTGACATCTGAGGCCAGGTGAGGCAGGATGCTTTTCTCCAGTGGGGCTCTGCGGCCTCCATTGGTGTCTAGTAGCATTACTGGCCTCCCATTGGACACAGTAGTGCCCACTTTTCTTCCCAATTGAAACAAACAAATTGTCCCCAGATTGTCCATGGGCCAAATTGTCCATGGGTGAGAAGCAGGTGGCTGGACCGAAGATATGTGAGGATCAACATCCCAAATCCAGGAACTAAGCTCCCACTATGTTCCTACTGTGTCACACTCTCCTGCTGATAAGCAGCAGGGAAAGGGAGTAAAACATTAACTCCACAGTTCCTTTATAGCCCAGGGTGGGTGGAGGCAGGGGCTGCAAGATATTAGAAGAGAAGGTGTTTGATTTTGTGGCTTGGGCAACTATTTTTAAAATGGCAACATGTAATGTGTAGAGTAGCAATTTTATGATGTTAGCTTTTTGAATTCTGTATTGGTCTACTTTTTTTCTATTTGGTTTTCTAAAATTTTCTTTTCTTTCTTTGAAAAAAATAACAATATGTAACATAACAACCATTCTTAAATTTCTTTCATTCTTTTTTTTTGTTGTTGTTGTTTCCTTTTTATCGGTACCGGGGATCGAACTCACGACTGCCTGCTTGCAAGGCAGGCGCTTATGCCGCTGAGCTAAATCCCCAGTCCCTCATTCTTTTGAAAGCTTGTATTGTTATTGTTTTGGGTTTGTTGTTGTTTGTCTCTTGCTTTTTGTCTTTCTTTTCTGACTTTTTTCTTTTTAAAATAAAAAATTAATAAAAAATAAAAAAAGAAGAGAAGTTAACAGGATGCAAATCTTACGATACTATTGTAGTGTTTAAGAGGCAGACCACAGAGCACCTACACAACTGGAAAGTGGCTGAGATCAAGGATTCTAATAAAACTTTCTGAATAAAATTAATAGCAATAGCAATTCCTTTTGTATTCTGATGTGGAAATAAAGCAAGCCTGGAATTCCTTAATTTTTTTGTAATCTAGTTCTCGGAGTCACCACACACCAACAGTGGGCTCTGCAGCCACCTCCAGCAGCCACACAGGCCTGAAGAGTGCTTTCTGTGTGTCTGCTGCACATGGATGGCAGCGTCTCAGACACCACCTCATGGCCTGCGGCTCATCAGTGTAGCAGCTATGGGTCTCACCTGACACCAAATCCTTTTGGCTTTGCATAAGGCAGTCCACCTAGCTCCTTAGCAATGGAGGCAGCCGCAGGACCTGGGTTGGGCCCGTCATAACTCCTAACCTCTGGCCACAGGAAACAGTGACCAGAATTCTTTTTCCTCATTTTTAAAAGTTGGGAGAGATTAAGTTTTATGACAAAATAGAGGTGGCTTAGTGGCAAACAACACTGAAACCAAGAAAAAACCCCTTCATGTCAGAACTGTTCAGATGCAAAACAAAACAAAACAAAACAAAACAAAACAAAACAAAACTTTGTAGTGCCTTGTTGTTGTTATCATTATTATTGCTTCTTATTTTTCCTTCCCACAAGGTACACCTGTGCTGATACTTAGAGAAAACATGGATGTGATTTAAGATGCATCCAAAACACACTCCAACTCCCATTGTTAAAACCTGATGGTGATTTAGTTCATTCTGGATCTTAGCCCAAGAAAAGAAACAGCTTCCCATGTGTGTAAGATAATTATTCTATATAACAGAAAACTGAATAAGAGCAAATGAGAAATGCAGACAGACAGACAGATGCGGCTGGACGAAAGAAAATAGAAGGCGAGTGGCAGTACAAAAGCAGATGAGAGAAATCTCATCAAAATGAAGATCAAGATTTCCAGAACAAACTGCTTTTATCTTCTCTCCTTTAATAAGTTCCTACTAAAATCCATTTATGTGAAAGTTTGCAACATTTTGAATTTTTGCATGAAATTCATACTCGTTAGCTAGAAAAAGTCAAGAAATGAGAATTTTAAAAGAAAAAAATTATTATGTTCTGTTGTTATGGACATTCCAAAAATAGAATACTAGGCATTTAAGGGTTTTAACAACTGAAATCATGTCTCCAAGAGAAATGTAATTATTATTTGTTAGTGTGTAATTAGATACATATAACAAAAAAAAAAACCTTTGAAATTACACATATTTATTTAGTCATATAGCTTAAAAGCTCCATTCCCTAGGATGGCTACTATTAAAACACAACACAACATGACACAACCCCCGAAAATAACAGTTGTGGGTGATGCAGAGAAATACGAGCTGTAGCGTACTGCTAGTGGAGATGTAAAAGGGTGTACTTTAATGGGAAACAGTGCGGGAAATCCTTAGAAAGTTAAAAATAGAGTTATTATGACAGCAGTTCCTCTTAGTCTGTAAAACAATGAGTACAGACTTGCAATGATCTCTCTGTGGCCATGTTCAGAGCAACATTATTCACAATAGCCAGTAGGCAGAAGTAATCACAAGCTAGGAGGGTTGCTATATAATCTTTAGAAACCCGGCACTAGCAGGTTTTACTCAAATATGTGCATAAAGGCCAGGCAGGGATGCAGCAGGTGTGCGGTGGAATCATAAATCTGCCTCTTGACAGGCCTAGTGAAAACACACACAAAGTGCACAACTACAAGCACACAGCCCAGAAGGTGAAGCGAGCCTGCTTCACCGCCAGGGGACAACATCGCAGTCCCCGGCTGAGGGCTTTCCTAGTGCAGGGCTTTCTGCTCCCAAACTGGGTTAGGCCTGCCCCTCCTCCTCCCCTGCCCCGCCCCCATCGGACACAGATCTCTGAAGGCTGCAGCCCTAGTGCTCAGGGGGGCACCGTTCTGCGGGGCTGAGCCCACTTCTCGCGCAGCGTTGGTGCCTCCACCTGGAGAGCTCCGCACCCTCCGGACACCGCGTTTCCGCCGCGCGGTCAGACGCAGCAGTGTGCAGAGCTCCCCGCGAGACCGTGAGGAACGCGGTGCACAGAAGTTATCCGTCCAGGCCACGTGGCCTGAAGGGGCAAAAGCAGAGTTTCTAACTCTGGCGCTCAGACCCCTGTTTGGCTCCTGCCAACCCAAATAACCAGGGCGCAGCCCGGCGCAGGCCTCGGCAGACCGTGGGCCTCAGCCCTGGGGGTGCGTGTGGGGCTCCGCGTTTTCTCCGGGCCCGAGCCTGTCCTCTGGGTCCCGCAGGGCTTGGCGCGTGTTCTGCGATATTTTTTGTTCTGTTTTATTTAATTTTTACTGTATCTGATGGAATGGGCAGCTATTTTGAGGCCACAAAACGCATTATGGTACCCGTTGTTGACTTCCTATTATCCCGTTTGGAGTCTCCGTATCACTCACCTTTTCGTTTCAGTTGGCTTTATTCTGTTTTATTTTGCATGGTTTTATTCTCTTAAAAAAAGTAAAGGCTCAGGTCTTCCAGAGAGGCCACTGCGTTGCCCGCAGTGTGCGCTTCCACCGCTGGGGGGCGCCAGAGCCCGCGGCACCGGCCGGGCGGAGGCTGCAGAGAGGGCGCCCACGCGGGGGTCCTGGGAACCAGCAAGTCTCAGAGCAGACGCGTCGCCCTCCCAGGGCACTTGCACATCTGAGGCTGGAGGGCTTGGCTGGCCGACCAGGCGGCCGAGGAGGGATGGGGGAGGCCGAGGCAGGCGGAGCGAGGGCTGCCGCCTGGGTCCACATGAACGGCTGGGAAGGGGTGGCTCTTGGCAGCAGGAAGGTGGTTCCCCAGGAGTTTTCTGCTGGACTCTTGTATCGCTCACCATTTCTCATGGGTCCTCGCTTCTAGACCCCAGGGGTTCTTTCGACTTACTGCAGACCTCACACCGCAGCTGCAGCACCCGAACACGGGGTGCGCCACACGACTGCCTTGGGGTGATCAAGATGTTGTCAGTGTGTCCTAGTGTGATCTTCCTAATCAAGAAAACTAATTAAACAGACACTTCAGTGGGATTTAGTTTTTCTAACTTCGTTAACAATTTTTGTAGGAAAAAAAAAATCAGAAAGACCACATTTTGCCCCAACTCCCCCAAATGAGCTGGCGAAGCGAATCGCTCTGAGTAGAGACTTGCAATGATCTTTCTGTGGCCATATTCAGAGCAACATATCCAGAGCTCTGGTTAGGATCGGGTGCCCATACTTTAAGGGCTGCCCCGCTGTGGGTCCGGTGGCGCACACTGGGTAGCAGCAATCACCCAGACTGGTGCTTTTTCCTGTGCAGTTGCGGGTCAGAGCTGTGCGGTCCCTACTGGAGACCTCTTCCAGATCAACATCCGTGTGGTCATCAGTACCCTGGTTCGCGATCACCCGACTGGCCCCAAGTCACTGTCTGTGCTGCTGAACCATCCAGTCACTCTCTTGTCATTGTGGAGATCACGAAGTAATCTCCATGCTTTTCCTACTGTCCAGTTTCAGGTTCCACACAGTGCCAGCTTCATTGAGGGACAGAAGCTCGCACAGGATGACCGTTCGACTGTATGCACCCTGTGTGTGCCTGCACATTTGCGCTGCTGTGCAGGTTGTCAGGTCAGGCCCACCGCAAAGAGTACCAGGATGTAGCGTAGGAGACTACGCGTGTGCATTGGGCAGAGGTGATAAAGTGTTGTTTTCCCCTTTGTATAGACCTTTAAGTAAGAGAAAAACCCCCAGACGTTGTGTTGCAGCCTTTGTCCCTTTTGTATCACCCTGCTCTCTCTGTGAGACAGCAGTCTAATCAGTCAGAAGTTAGGACCCAGGGGTGCATCTGAGACCTGCAGCACCTGACAGCCAGCTGGAGTTGCTCCAGTGCCCGCCAGAGGCCAAGCAAGAGCTGAGGCTGGGGTGAACTCGCCTCTCCCTGCCCCTGGTGAGACTCATTCGGGCTTCAAACCTCTGTGTTTTCTGTTGCTTAAAAAGAAAGAAAGTATCTTTCTACGGGAGACATCATGATGCAGACTGAGTTTCTGCTGGTGCCTTTTCTCCTCAGCATCATTGCCTCAGGTAAGACAAGTTGAACTCAAGACTGGAGACGCAGCATTATTGAAGCAAAGGAGGCCAAACTAGACTGCGGAGCATGTTAGAGCTGCAAAAGGTCACCCACAGTTATATTTGGATAACCTTTCAAATGAGATTCAAATGGCTATTTTATGAAATTTGTGTATTGCTAAAGAAATCATATATGTGAATTCCGTGAGGTTTATGCTTTGGTCATTTGTTGTATCTTACTGTTTTTGAATCATTATGAGCTTGGTAGGAAAAAATAAAAGCAGAGGAAATGTTACTGAATGCACTGACCTTTATTCATAGGACAGTCCAAATATTGGGCATAGAAATTGACTATATCAACACTTTTATATCACATTTGCTGGTGATTACTATGTCTATGTATAGATGTTTGTTTGTCCAATATATTCTATAGACATACAAATATTTTGACAAATGTGTATATCACAAACAAATGTATATCCATGTCTATGAGTATGCATGCTGTATGGCCGCTCTCCAATTAGAAATAGTGGAATTATTGATCAGTAAAGAGGACAAATAAAAATTGAGAGAGAAATCAGAAAGGGATGGAGGGAGGGACAGAGAAAGACAGAGACTAAAGAGAGAAATACAAGAGACAGGGAAAGAGGAAGAAGGTATTTAAAAAGATTAGGACACCATGGTCATGTGCACCTGCTGCTTTCTGGGGCTTGGGGTCCTTTACTTCTTGCATAACTTAAGAACAGAATGACTCTTCTCATGGAACCAGAAGCCATCTAAAACCAGGAGCTAGATGGTAAGAAGTGTTGTTCTATAAGCAATTTGTATTTATTTCTCAGTAGTGTTTCTAGCACATCTGGCTATACAAGTTTTAGATGGAGAGGCAGAAGCAATGGCACAGACCTACCTGCATCCAGAAGTGAATCGTGCCTGTGAGGTCTTTCTGAACATTTCCCTTGCTTCAGAAACAACCTTTCTTCACAACAGAGATGCCACACAACACAGTCAAACCCACTTCCAAATATCAATTTTGTTCTCTGCAAAATCTAAAATATAGTCTGTTGACCAGAAGAATAAGAATCCACATTTGTATGCTTTAGCATACTATCAGTATCTGATGCTTCTCTACCTTCATTTGTCAGGATTTCTTTTTATTATGAAAGAATTGGTGCTTTTCCCCAGGAAAACCCTTTCTGTGCTGAGTGAGGGTGATCAGCACGAATGCTTTGGGTGTGCATAGTCCTCCAGGCACAGTGAGGGGCCCAGAGGGAGCCTGGGGCTTGCTTCCTGCTGTTTGGGGATGTATTTGGAGGTGTATCTCTGTGGATCTGCAACAGATTTAATAGCTGCCATAAATCTCACATTGTGACTATCTAGACCCATTAGAAGACATCTTTCCTAAGCTACTTAACCTAACTACTCATTATAAAGATCTTTTAATTACACAAAACTACCTTTTCATATTACAAGGGGCATCCTCTTTATTTTTATATTTTAGGCTTTAGTAAAAAAGTATAATTGAGTGTGACTGTGTGACAGTTCTGATATTGCTAGTTCATATGTTGAGTGCTTGTGTCTATTTCCAGAAAACAGAATCATAACTTATTTATGATAATGTCTGTTTGTTCATTCAGTAAAAGTCTAGAGAGCATCTATTGAGTCCTGCGAAAGTAAGAAAGAACTGGGTAGGCTCAAAAGGAATCCCACATCTGGTGACCCATGACATTTGTACCATTCACATCCAGATTGGGACACTGGCAAGATCAACGATTTTTTTCAGGTTTGACACTAGGTACAGTGACTGGAGGTGCCAACTTCGGGAGGACTGGCGCGATCACCGACAGGGAGAGACATCCTGGCTCTTTTGATGTGGTTCATGTGAAAGACGCCAATGGCAACAACCTTGCCACTTGGCTTTCCAACATTTTTGTTATTGAAAAGGCATAAAACCATGAATTTCTCTTCTCCGGGGAAAGGGAACCCATCTAACCATTGCTGGGGACAGACAGAGAGAGAGAGAGAGAAAGAGAGAGAGAGAAAGAGAGAGAGAGAGAGAGAAAGAGAGAGAGAGAGAGAGAGAGAGAGAGAGAGAGAGAGAGAGAGAGAGGCTGGTGACCAGATAGAGAAATGGTGAAATGGTCTCTAGTGACATGAGGAGAGAAGTCATCTGTACTCAAATAATACAGCATGATGACATGCTAAGAAAAAAATCATTTTAATAAGCTCTCATCTTAGTGAGAATTCATTAAATATTTACTATTTGATTTCACCCTGCAGACTTGTTGCACATGTTGATGGAAGAAGCCACTGTTTGTGGTATAATTTTTTTGATTGAGAGGCAAAACCAACACAGCAAGAATGACAACAAAAAGAAAAATTATCAGATAATTGTACTTGATGAGATTTGAAAATTCATCAGTCATTTCTGTCTCTCCTAGATGAAGATAAGCAATGATGTTATCTTTCATAAATAATAATCACAAGAGGTCATCTATTGTCTTACCAATTATTTACGCCTAGGTGTGAGTTGTCAAAATGTTACCTGAAAGTAGATGTTGGTCAGGGGTGAGAAGACAGCAGAGGGTTTGAGAACCTGACGAAAAGCAAACTGATCAAGAAGGAAGAGATGGGGCTGGGGATTTAGTTCAGTGGCATAAGCGCCTGCCTTGCAAGCAGGCAGTCGTGAGTTTGATCCCTGGTACCGATAAAAATGAAAAAGACAAAAAAAAAAGAAAGAAAGAAAAAAAAAGAAGGAAGCGATCAGAAGGTTAAGCTCTAGGTTTCAAAGGAAAACTTTGTTGAGCTGGCATCGAGCACTTTCTCTAAATTCTCCCAGTTGCACTCGCTGGGGTGAAGAGTGTTCTAATTACCCCGCAGGAGCGGATCCTCTAACCCCTTTATCCTGACAGCTACCTTCACCTCTGCTGGATACATAGCAGCCCTGCATGAAAAGCTGTCCCATGAATGGCACATCGTGAACATAGGCTCTGTTTTGTACCTTCAAGTATCAAGCATTAGTGGCCACACTTTGTAGCTGTGCTGTGGACTCCAAGATCTTAAACATAAGGCAAGTGAGCCGCGGGAGGTCTTAGCAATCATCTCACCTCATTTTTATTGGGAAAGGTCAGATCCTTTGCTTAAGATCATGAAACTTGGAACAGAACTCATTTCTCTAACTCCAAGTCTAGTGCCTCTGAATGTTAAATAAATATTTGTTGGATTCCTGTTGCAATGACCGATGGGCTTGGCGAGGAACTCTGTGTTCTGATGTGATCCCAAGGCAGCATGCTTTTCTGAGCACTATCCAAGCTGGAGCTCTGTGGGCAGGAAATAAATAGCCTGGGCACAGCACAGCGCAGTCTCCCTGTGGCTCACAGTGCACTCTGCCCCTTTCCAGCTTTCTCTCTTCTTGCTCTCTGCACATGGAACTGATGGTTTGGGCCCAAACAAAATATTTTGACCAAGAAAAATAGACAAAGATGAAGTAGGGAGAAAAGGAAGATGAGAGGAAATGGAAGAAGAACAGGGATTGAGGTGAGCAACAAAATTCTTGCTTTGCCAGAGATGATAAAGAGCCCTGTTAGGTGGCAAACACCCTCCCTGGACTAAATGTGCATTTTGGATGGTTTTGTGCAGAGCAGGACTCAAAACAAGGGATGTGGAGTTCACTTCCTTGCAGGTGACTCCAGGATGGTGCCCCACTACAGAGGCCCCAAGCAGAGCCTTGTTCATCAGTCAGATGTAAGCTACAGCAAGGGCAGAGTTGACTGGTGTGAAAAACAGCACCAGCACCACTGAGTGCCTTCCTAAGACCAAAGAAATGTGATTGTGACTTAGTTTTAGAAGATTTCCATGTCACATACTGCTTTGAAAATAATGCATTTATAACAAAATACCTAAAATAGTCAGTAAAGAGAGTCACAGTTTTGGAGTTTGCAGTCTATGATCAACTGGCTCCATTGCTCTAAGGTCCTTGGTGAGACAGCACATCATAGCAGGAGTGCCTGACAGAGCAAAGCCACTTCCTTCACAAACCAGGCAGCTAACAGGAAGAGGCGGAGCCAGGCCTCAGAGTCCCTGTCACGCACACACTCTCAGTGACCTCAGGAACTCTTGCTAGGCTCTGCCTCTTGAAGATTCCACTTCACCTTGAAGACTAAGAGGATGCATCTGGTGGGGCAGGCACTCTCATCCCAAACCATAGCAAGGCATTTTGAAAAACGCAATACTAGCAAGAAAACAGCAATACCAAGAATATGTGTTAATAGACTTGAATTGTTGGAAGAACTTTTATGTGATAGCAGACCATGGTAGAGGTAACAGTCATTTGCTGCACTCAGTCTTCAAACAGTTTTGTGCAGGTGGAAAGGTGACTGAGCTAGTACTCAGAAGACTGTATCTGGCACTCAGTAAGAAGGTGACCCCAGGGAACTCTTGTTCTTGCAGCACTGCAGTGACTGTACCTGTAAAAGGAGAGACTAAAACAACACTGAGGGCCCTTCCTGCTTGTCTGAACCTCTGATCATTTCAGTTTTCTTTCCTCTTTCACTGACGCTGAGTTTGGGAAATACAAGCTTCCCAAAGAGATGATCCCTGTCCTTTGGTTTCTCCAAGAGCACTTAGTTCTTCATTTGTCAGTAGACTGCCCAGATAAGATCAGAACATTGGTCTTGTCCAATTAATTTAAAATATAAATCAATTTTCAAAAAGTAAACCACATACAACTCTTCAGAAGTCCATTTATTCCTTAAAACAGAGACCATTTTCCTGGGACTCCTGAGGATGTCTGTGGTTTTCCATCCCCGGCGCAGTGAGCTTCCAACCCTCATGTCATAAAAGCATGTATTCTGATCTTCCCCTTTTCCTTTATTCATTTGTTCATTCATCAAACATCACCAAATAGGTATCTAGGCCCTAGTTTCAAAGAATCTAGAGAAGGCCTTTGCCCTTCCGTGTGGTGTGCTATTTAAAAAGCACAAACTGTGAACTTGTCTAGGCCTTACCTCTGTCTGTTC